ATATATGAAACTAAAAAATCAAAAAATCAAAATATTATGGCCTATCCATACAAGCTACCATAGTATAATGAATAAGAAGTATGCTCTATAATAAGACTGTGCATATTTTTTTTTATTGCCATTGATATGTACATAATTTGTCTTAAACCTAGACTGACACACCGTCTCCGCCCAGAATCGTTTTTCTCATACAATGATATTATATCATTGAATTCAAATTTAATACCATCCATTATACAGTGACCCACTTGTAACCTATTGTACAGCAGAGCACCTTTTTTCTTTTATAAGTTGTTTAATTAAATACAATTTTATACTAGCCTAAATTGTGTACCTTAATCAGAATAAACGATTTTATATTTAACCAAAAAATTCTATTATAATTGAGGTCTGAGGCGCAGAGAATCAAAACAGCAAAAGTGTTTTTAATTTTTATACAGAACAGGTAGGTACCTAATAAAAGTTTTGATTATTTTTCAACATTTTTTTTCTTATAAAATCCACCCTAAAGAAAATAATAGGCTCATTTTTTATGTATAAATTATGGCCTTTTAAGCTATCTATAAAGCATTAACCCAATCAATGTTGGTTAAGTTTTAATGTGGGTTAGGACTCAAATTTTGAAAAACATTTAGGTACATGCTATAGTTGCTATTGCAGTTGGGAAAGTCCAACTCATTGAAAATTTGTTAATCACTTAAATCTGAATCTTTTTTATATAGTATATTACTCTATTAGAATAAACTTGGTTACACCAAAGTCCACAGAATTTATTAATTATTATATATTATTATGTGTTTAAAAGTCAATAAGTATGTTTGCAATTTTAGTTCCAGTTATTATAAAACAATTGTAGGAAATTATATTATATTTTCAATCTTTGTCTATGATTGTGTGTAATTTTAATATTTTCCCCGGGCGTAAAAATTCTTAGTTCCACCTCTGCGGCTCTGCCGATCCACTTAGTAATTTAGTAATTTACCAAATATTGAATTTCAGCCAACATATTATTAGGTACCTACCTATGTATTATTATTTTAACATTATTTCAATATTTTTTTTACACATTTACTTATATTATAGCCATATAGGTACTAGAACACATATTTTGAGTGAAAAAAAATTGAAAAAAAAGGTGTCCGATAAAGAAGTGTTTTGCCAAAAATTCAAAATTGATATAGAAGAACATTTAAAATCAACGACTTGACTATCTATACAAAGACAAATTTATCGAAAAGTTATAATATATTATTTTCATAAAAATTTGTTTTTATAATTTTATTGACATAAAATACCATTTTTAAATAATTATTTTTAAATAACCAGGAAAACTTCCGAACATTTTTATTTCTTTAGATGTTTTAAATGTTTTTATAAATCAGCTGTATTCTTTAATATAATATTATGGACCACAGCGCTGTAGATAGTAGCATAATATTGACTAAACATACAAACATATTTAATCAATGTCCGTACCACAGAATAGATTTAGTACTGCAATATCCTGCAATGGGTTGCTAAACCCAACATCTACACAATGGGAGCAAGGTGGAACGTGGATTGATTATTATTATAATAACACGGCAAAAAACAATGATTTTAAGATACCTATTGGGCATTGGCTATTATATTATTATTATAATATAATATCGCTGGCCCGCCACTCGGTTAATTGTTACGGTTCAGTAGTTTATATTTTCACCACACGCGTAAGGCGCTAGTAGGAAGTAGGGTCATATTTTACTATAATTGTATTTATTGGTAAATCCAGATATCCTACAATCCTAATAATAATAAATATAACAAATTGGCGGGCCACATGTGAACATTCAAAGGAAACGCGGGCCGCTTGTTTGACGCCACTGCAGTCCTACATGATGGAATTTATAATAATTCATTTAATATAAGTAATAAATATATTTATTCAGCCATTCAGATTCAGGAATAATAAGTTGATATATATTAGTAAGGGATGGTATTAGGGAAATTAAAAAACATCCAATCATATTCAAAAAATGTTAAATGATCTTCAGGCCCAGCCAATTACCTACATTATTATATCTTAAATAGTATATTATATTAAGCCGTGTATAATAATTAATAATATCAATGATGTAAACTCCAAAGTCACGATTTATGATTATAAAGAACCTTCCTTATAATCGTGCATTCGTGCCACGGACCACGGTCCACGGTTTAAGGGCCGTTCTTACAATGTCCGGTAAAGTGTCGGTTAACGCTAACCGACTGATAACAGATTTTATTACCGGCAGAATTCTTCCGGTTAAGTCAGTGGCGGCGCCAGGGGGGGGCCTGGGCGGGCCACGGCCCCCTCTAAATTTGTCTTGGCCACCCCTTGGCCCCCCTAACCACAAGAGAAAAAAAATTATTTAAAAGAACAGATTATAAATCGAAATATCGAATAATTGTGGTTATAAATTATTATTATTATAAGACCGTATGATGCCCGTCTGCACGGCTATATAATATTATATCCGCGAGCCGTGCCTATCTGTGACATAATGTCATTTGTCAACGATTTAATATTTTATTGACAATGAGTATTATTATTTTTGTCTACGTTTTACGTTTACATTTTACAATTTTACAGTGCATAATACAGTTTAATCGGTTTAATGTTATCTATACCATGTCGAATATGAAAAACGGGAAAAACCCAATAATAATACAATTTAAAAGACGCGTAGTTAAACAACAAAGATTATCATTATACTTACGTACTCGTAAAGGATATCATCTTAAACGTTGTATAATTTTTAACTTAATAATGTCCAAACGAAAAATAAATGACTTTTTTGCATCAGTAATAAATAAAAAACAAACTAATGATTCTGATTCAATTTTGTCACAAAAAAGCAAGTAAGAGATTTTAATTTCAATTATTATTTTAGAATAATAAATTAGAGTATATAATTTATTTGTTTTATATTATTTTTTTTAATTTAGTGACTTTGGTGAACTCATTAGTGAAGATAGTGAAGAAGAAAATGTTGGAAAATGTTGGAAGAAAAATAAATTTACAACTAAAATAAATGATATTTTTAATTTATATGATTTTCTAAATGAGTATCAAATTGCGTTTTCAGAACTGCATAAACTTTGTTTAATATCTATTACAATTCCTGTTTCCTCAGCTGGATGTGAAAGAACATTTTCTTGTCTTAAACGGGTAAAAAACTATCTCAGAAATAAATTAATGGATTCTCATATGTCAAATTTGAGTGTGATAGCCATTGAAAAATTAGAAGCCAAAAGTCTAAACATTGATGACATTATTAGGTAATGAATTTGCATCATTGCACCAAAACCGTCGAATTATTTTAATTTGACATAATTTATAGTAATACTATAAAATATAAATCATAATAAAAATTGTATAAAATGAAAAAAAAACAGTGACAAGAGTGTATAATAAACTAAAAAAGTATCTATCATATGTTTATGATTCCTAATTATGTTACCTATTCAATAAGCAGCTAAATTAAAGTATAGGCACAAGGCACATAAAAGTTAATTTTATAGTTTTTAATTTATCATAATTTATTTATATTTCTGTTTAATACAAATTATAATTATTATATAGTGTTTAAATGTGTGAATTCATTTTATATTCATCATTTCTAACAATTAGTAGATATCAATTATATGTATACCATTTAATATAATTTTGTTTTTGACTATTTACTATGTTTGCTTGTAACGTTGTAACTAGATTTTGTAATATTTAGTAAGTTGCTAAATGCTAAGGCAAATAAAAATTGTGTAATTTTTTTATTTAAATATAAATGTTTTAACTTAAAAACAAATGTAATTTGTGTATTACCTATATTATAATAAAGTACCTACTCATTGTTTATGTAAGTTTGTTGAAAATGTTATCTAATGTTTAAGTGTGTAAATATTAAATAATATACCTATACCTATATGATATTTATTATCAATTAAAATGAAAACCAATAATTATATGAAAACTTAGTATATGCAACACAGTCTTTACAATAGATAGTGTGTAAGCCCCCTACCCTATACTGAGCCTATGAATGGGAAAAAGACAACGAATTGGGACTTTTTTGGCCCTACCAAATTTTCAAAGGCCACCAATGGGCCCCCCCAAGATAAAATTCCTGGCGCCGCCACTGGGTTAAGTGTCGGTTAACTTTTAACTTTAACCGGACGTCGTAAGAACCGAAAGTCGTTTAAGATAGAAACCGTGATTTGTGCCCAAGTCGCAATCTTTTTCTGAAAATGTTGTTATCTTTGTTGTTTTACTGTTTTCTATCTCCCACAATAATATTGTTCTGTGCTATAAATGGTTTCGTGTATTGTTCGAATGTTCCATGATAAAATAACTGTTGTCCATCACAGAATTCGGTTCCATGAAAAACCGTACGCGGTATCTGATAAGCGTCGAGCCATATGTTCGCAAGGTCGAGGTTGTTTTTTTTTCGCGCATTCCTCATCGATGAGGCGTGTTTTCGTGGAAATATGCTGCAGTACGTACGTCTGCGTCTGTGAAACGCTAAAAATTCTAAATTGACAACGAATAACGATCCACGAATAATTACGATTCTGCCGTTTCGTTTCTCGATGCCGTCAGTTTATCATCCGCTGCACTCGATCGCAACGTTGACGCTTGCAGTGTCCGCGCCGCAGACCGCAGTGTCCGATTGATGTCGAAACCAGTCGGCCGTAGACTACGGTGGTACGCGTATGTTAGTGTCCGTTTCGGTTTGATATTTTTATCGGATTTTTTTCCGTACTCGTCGCAGACGTATGTTGTTCCCGCCACACAATGTTGCACGTAAACTCAATGATAGTATGTAACGCACATATTTTGTATTTTACACTTTAAAAAACCGTTTTAATAATAATATATTCATATACCGATACATTGTTAACGATACGTGTTTAGGCGGCCACGTTTCCAGCCTAGGTTATTCCACTGTAGGGGTATCGTAGGATTGTCGAACCGTATCGCTATGGATGACGGTAGTGGGGATCAAAAGGCAAACGATGTGCAGTCTGATCTCAAACAAAATTGTGTGGAAAACGTAAATTCCATACAGCCACCTTTAAGTGATAATTGTGTAGCCAAAAAGACGTCATTTGAAATCACTAGTATCACAGAACCAAATAACGATGACAATGATGAAGATTCACCAGACACTGACTCACATGTTCACGATCACAGAACAGTAGATAACAGGCATGAAGCTGAATTGCAAAATTATGCCGACAACATGGTTGTGTACAATACGTCTAATGATCTAGGCAGTTCTGCACCAGTCATACCGACTAGCTCACAATATGGTCTGGCTATTGTTGATAATTCAGATGGTGGCCATTCTTTAGGTTCCATAAAGAATGAAGATATGCATGGCATCGATGCTAATTCACAAAAGAATGAGTGCGATTTAAATGGTCTTCAAAACAAAAACAGAAATGAGAGGTTCAAAGTGGTGAAAATTGAAAGTACAGAACCATTTAAACGCGGCCGTTGGGTGTGTATGGACTTTTTAGATCATTCAATGAATCAACAACAATCAGGTAACAATAAAATAATCATGGTAAATGGTGATAACAAGGCTTATTCTCAGGCAAACGACTTGGATACAACTGAGCCATTGGACAATGGCCATCATGAAAGTTCCGAGTTCAGAGTTTGTACTAATAATGTCAGTACTTACACCAGTAATTGTAATAACTCTGATAATTATAAAAATCCAACTTCTACTTATAATATTGTATCATCTGGTGTAACTACTCCTATCCATAGTGCTTGTGTATCTCCTGGTCAAAGTTTACAGACTAATATGCAAGTTCCAGTTTTAACGAGTCAGCCAATTTCAACTTCTGTGCAAGCACCACAGCCACAAAGTCTTACCCAAGTTCAATTACCAACCCAGCATAATAATATTAATCAGAATTGTCTACCACATTCCAGCTTACAGTCTCAGCAGATACAACAAGTGATTGCAAATGCCGGAGTAATGCAATCTCAGTTACAACAAACTCAACCAGTTATCAATGTTATGCAAAATCAAAACCCATCAATACAACCACAGTCTATTCAACATATAAATTCTGTAGAACAAAATGTCACTCAAACAATGCCACAACAATATCAACCTATGTCACAGGCAAATTTACAACAACAAATTATGCAGCATAACATACCAGCACAATTTCAAAAATCATTTGTTCAACAGAATCAATCCGTTTTACCTAACTGTGCACCTATACAGCAATCAGTAAATCAAATGATTAATCAACAAGTTCCTCAATATTACAACTCCCCTCCAGTCCAGTCTCAAAATGTTACTTCTGAATCTTCAACTACGGTGTCTATGTCCAATCAACATATTGGCCAACAGCAATTTCAGTCAATACCTATTCAAAATCACGTACAACTTCAACAGAACCAACAACAATTGCCACCCCCTGTGCAACAAATGCAACAACAGCCTAGTCCTCAGCAAAATATGGTACAACAAAATCAAATGCAATCTCAAATGGTCCAACAAAATCAGCAATTGTCTCATCAACCAACCATTTCTCAGCCTAGTCAACCTCAACAAACCCAGTCTGTTCCTCAACAGAGTCAACAAATGTCTCAGCAACATATCCAGCAGCCTCAACAAACACCACAACCCCAACAGACACACGTCCAGCAAGTATCTTCTTCACAGCAACAGCAACAACAACAACAAGCCCCTCAACAAATGCAACAAGTTGGACAACAACTACAAGGACCACAAGGTTCACAAATCCAGCAGCAATTGCCTCAGCAAACTCATCATATCAACCAACTTACTCAAATTACCAATCAACCGCAACAAATGCCCCAGTCAAATCAAATGCAACAAATAGCTCAGCAAAGTCAGCAAATTTCACATCAACCTCAACAAATTACACTACAGAGCCAACAGATACCCCTACAGACTCAATTACAGCATTCTAAACAAATGCAAACAACTCAAATTCAGCCTCAGTCTCAACAGATTCCTCAACAACAGCAGATTCCTCAACAACAACAGATTAGTCAGAGTCAAATGATACATCAAAATAATCAACAAATAAACCATACAGGGCAAATGATTCCACAGCAAACTCTTAATCAAGGACAACAGTTAAATCAACAAAACCAACAAGTTCAACAGCAACAGCAACAGCAACAACAACCTCAACAACAAATACAGCAACAATTAGCCCAAACTAGCCAACCTAGTCAACCAATGTCTCAACAAATTCTACAACCAAATCAAAGTATGCCTCAACAAAATCAAGTTCTAACTCAGCAGTTGGGAATAAGTCAACCAAATTCCCAAATGTCTGTATCTCAATCTCAGAACCAACAAGTAATTCAACCGCAACAGCCACAACACATGCAACAAGCTGGTCAGCAATATCAACAACCTCAACAAATGATGCAATCTCAGCCACAGCAATTGCCAATGCAAAATAATCAACCCATCATGCATCAGCCAAGCTATTCACAGGCACAAAGTTTGAATGCTATGCAACTGAATCAAGCCGTAATGCAAATTCCGACTAACACTGTTACGTCTACTCAAATGCATATACAGCAGCAACAGCCAGTGGGTCAATCTAATATGATGCAGCAACCTCAAATTTCCGTTATCCCGCAAAATAACATACAACCAATTCCTATGTCCCAACAACAAATGACATATTCACTACAACAACATGTGCCTATTAACCCAAACTATGCTAACAGTATGCAAAATTGTTACATTCCTTCCCAACAACAAATGGCTCCATACAAACCTTCAATGAAAACTGTAGAAACTGTCAAAAAAAAAGAAGACAATAACACTGAAGATGTTGATAATGGAACCACTAATAACGCAACTACCACTGTAGCGATCGATAACAAAATTGAACAAGCTATGGATTTGGTCAAAAGCCATCTTATGTATGCTGTGCGTGAAGAAGTAGAAGTATTAAAAGAGAAGATTGCAGAGCTAATGGATAAAGTTGGACTACTAGAAACAGAAAACTCAAATCTTAGGATGCTTGTTCCACCAGAAATGTTAGAACAATACAACCGTGAAAAACAAAAATCTACAAATGGTCAGTCTACTCATAATCAATAGGCTTAAGCTTAAACTATTTGGTAAACCATGAAATACTAATATGTTAGGCCAAATATATAAAAAAAAAAAACAGTGATGTGTACAGATTGTTATCTTTATTAGTTTGATTTGTACAATGTAATATTAGTAAAGACTTTGAGTTTAATCATTTTATTTTATTAGCTAACTGTGTAGCTAGGTATGTACTTTTATATTTTTTTGAGTATGATGATATTTCAAATAAATAAGCCCCAAGTTAAAAATATTCAAATGTTGAGTATTTTAGATTACGAATCAGAAGGACACTGTTATATTATATTTTGTTCATTTATACTTTTCATAAAATAATGATGATTTGTTTTTCAATGTGTTTATTTTTTAAGACTGTATAATTAAAAAAAATTCAAAATTTAAGTCAAAATACTGATTATTTTTTTTTAGTTATGGTATACGACTTAACGAGGTACATTATGTCCTTGCTTTGTGATGTGCAATTGTTTGCGAATTTAAATGTAAACTTTACTTTAAGATTGGAACTGACTGAATAAAAAAAAAATTGGTTAAATTTTTAATGATAATTTTTTTAGGTGTGCTGAAAAATAATGATAATTAGTAACATACACTCCAACTGATTATTTTGTATAATACCCAGTGTAATATAAAAGCTCGTATAAAAGACATTTTTTGATTGTATATTAGAATAAAATATAATTTATCCAATACAATTATTATACTAACAAGCAACATTTAGTTAAATACAAATATTAAATTAAATTCTGCATGATAAACATATCATTGTGACATTTGTTAGTATTAGCCTGAGTATAAAAATATGTATGTTTATAGGTACTCTCTTATTAGAGACATGTATGAGAATAAATATATTTTATAAAAGAATTAATAAGAGAGTAAAATACAATATATTATAGTATAATACACTTTCTTGGAAATGGCTATAACCATTAACCAGTTTTGTTATCATAATCTCTATCATAAGATATTTTTACTAAATTTAAATAGTCGGTATACCTATTTCTATTACACGAACACGCTGGCATCTAATCACAATTGTAGTCAATAACAACATTGTTGCAGTCAACGTATTAACTTGTTGATAATTTTTAGTCTTATAAGTTACAATTTAAATTGCCTTCATATCTCTAAATTGCTCATGTTTGTGGTTTTCTGAGTCACTAGCAGTGTTATATTAAAAATAATGTACTCAAATTTTAAACTATTACATTTTTCATACAGGTAGACATGTAGTATAAAAAATATATTCTATAGTTATTTATAAATTGTTGTTTAAATACTCAAATATTCTTCTAATTCAAGACCACTTATACTTTTCAAAATGTATTTTAATTATTTAAGTAAACTCTTACTTAATCATATTTTAAAATATAACTTACTAAACCAGAATCATGCTTTAACAGATTTAATACTGTTTGTGATTAAAAGTAAGTTTATTTTTTAAAATCATTCAACTATCATTTGTGATGTGTTTTAAACAATTATATTTTAAGAATATTAAATATTTGAGTATTTACCCTAAATACCTATTATTTACAGTTGTACTTGTTTATCTTATTTATTTTACTCATTACCTACTACATATTATTTAATACCAGAAATGTATAACACCTAATTATTAAAATATGTAATTATGACCTTTAACATGTAATTAATATCACTAGGATTTATTTTATATTAGCTGTCTAGGCGTCAATATAGTTTTAAATAATATTTTTATTAGCTTGCTGTATAATGTGCAAAGATTTATATGTATATTATATTTGTTTCAATTATTATGAATTGTGATAGTTTCATTATATACAAAATTGATAAGGCTTGTGAATGTATACCTAATATTTATGTATTGAAGATATTTGTTTTTGCCTTTTCAGTTCAAGAATATAATATGATCTTCTTTTTATACTCCTACTAGACAATATATATTATAATAAATAAATAACTAATTTATGATAAAAAAAAAAACTGAGTATTAATATTATTTTTAACTATTTAACTTAGATGTAGATTTTCAAGATGATTACCTCCGACTGAAATGAATTCCAACGTTGTGTGACATCTGATTGAATGCCATAACTTAAAAAACTCAACTTCATTTCTTTTTTTACCATAGTTTTTTGATCGGTTACTCTATTGATCATTGTTATTCCAAGTCCAAGCTGAAATATTGCACTAATTATCATAACACCACTAATCTATATTTAAATAAAATACACGAGTATAAATTAATGCAGATTAATCGTTATTGATAACAGTAAAGGAAAGGCAACAGGTACCTACTAAATAATAATCATCAATGCTAATGAAAAAACAAAATCAATGAAAGCTGAAAAGTAATTAGTATATTATGCATTATGTAGGTAACTATCCAAAATAAAAATGGTGTACCTCTATCTTTGTGGGTATGATTTTTTTGATGGGGGGGGGGAGTTAACACTTCTACTATGAGGCTATCCCTCCCCAAAATGTCTTAAACCCATTTGGTCTTATATGGACTTCAATCTTCAGCTGTGGCCTGAGGGTATGCAAAAAAATAAAATTCACTCTTTTCAAAACATTGCACTCGAATATAATAATATTTAATTGATGTCTCTTCCAGTCTTCCTACGTATTATCAAACTGAGCATTATACACAGATCTAAAATGAAAAACTATAATATAATAAAGAAGGCAATTTTATAAAAATGACCTACATAATAGTATATTATCTCATCCAAATCCATTAATTCCAAACTTATCCTTTATATGACTTTATCAATTCTGGTAATCCTAGTAGACGCCTGAAGTGTAAATAGTATCAGGATCAGTACCTACTATAATGATTAATAAACATGCATTGCCACATCGCCACATAGGTAATAGACCATTCCATCATTGTAACAACCTAGATTTTTTTATCACTTTTCTGAGTTTGTTTATTCACTTATTACATACCTTTGCTTATTGTATCGATTTGATATAGATTGAATATTACCTACATATAAGAAAAATCCATACCTCAATTTATATATGCTGTACGGTTTTCATTACAATCTGACTAATTGAATATTAAATATATCATTAAATTAATCATAAATGATTGACACTGTATGTCAATGATGTTTATATAAAACAAATAAATTACTTGTTTGCTTATTAACAATTATTTACTTATTAACAGTATAATATGTATATTAAATATTAATACACTACCATAGTAAATTAAATGATTTAATTAATTAATTCAGTAGGTACCTTATTCATTAATATAATATTAATATATAATGAAATAGTTTATTAACTATGATATTAATTTGTGAATTTGCCTACACAATAGCAAAGTTGTCTGCGTATAGTTAAAGCAGTATATAATGCACAAATACATGACAACATCATTAAAAAGCCGCTATATAAACAAAAAAATATTGTCTTATTTGTTTCTAAGTGGAGAAACGTTCTTGTGATATCCAAATTTGATATATATTTGTCAGATGTTTTCATTAAAATAATTGAACAAATCTAAAAAAAAAATAATAAATAATATTTAATCTTATGTTTTGTCGTAATTTGTGACTAACTTAGGTACAATATTTATAAAAATTATCTTTAGTTTTAGAGGCTTAGAGCTATGATATTTTTTAATTTTATATATAATTTGATAATTGTGTAAATAATAATTAAAATTATAGAATTGTTTATCTTATATTATAATATCAATATGATATATCTAACTACCTTCCACCTATTCAGAAAGTTTTATCATAAAAATATTTTTAAGTGTCAATGCATAGTTAAGTATATATTTCTTAGAACAAGGTATATAAAAATAAAAATTGGTTACAGTAATTTTAGTAATCATTAAGTATTAATTCCCAAAATCCGAACATGTATGATGTATAAATATTGATTTTCTGTGAAAAATTGTCTATGAATACCTATTTTAGATTCTGAGTGGAGCAATGATAGTATTAGTATATTATACAGTATATTAGTATATAGATAGTTTATTATGTGATTTTTAAAGTGAAACTTCTTCACAGACGGTATAGATGTATAGTGATGAGAAAATATAGTCAAATTATGACTTATGAGTATGCGCAAACAGCAATAATAATTGTGTTGATACTAATCATGCCTTTAACAATTAATTCCAAACACGGTTTGGTTGTGGAACTGTGGAAGCAACGAAAAAAGTTTTTTTCATGATGATTCAACAGTAGTTGGCAACCACAGTATTCCTCACTACCTATATCAGTGCCAACGACTTTGGTTGGCTTGATTGTTAATAGGTAGTTAATTTACAGGAAACAATACCTAAACAAATTGAAACACGATGGAGGAGAATCAGTTATAGAAGAAATATATTGATTTTAATATTTGGTGCTGTGTATATTTATTATTTACTCAAATCAGAAAAAAGTTGAGAATATCCGTTTTTTTTTTTTTAAGTGTTTATTCGCCCTATTTTCGTGATCGTACAGAAGCAGAATTAATCTGTGAAGAAACTGATCAATTACCATTTACCGTTGATTTTAACTGGAGATTTTAACGTGACTATACATCGGAAAATTCAGAACCGTTTACAAATGTTTTTCGAGACTCATAATTTAAATTAACAATGAATAATGATCCAACAATACCAACAACTAAGGATGTAGCTAAGAAATATCATCAAGAGGGCAACCAAGCATATTTTTAAAGTTTTTACCCAATTTAAAGTTTCGTTAAACCTTAAACATTAATAGATTCGTTAGTTATGGACAATGAATGGGGGGATTGCCTTCCCCCCTCCTCCCTTGGCTATGCCCTTGCCAACAATAAAATCATTATAGTACTGCAGCAATTGATGCGATTTTCACATGATGCTTGCCTAAAGCATAATAAAAAAAAAATTATGTACCTACCTTTTTCTTTACAATTACTAACCAAAAAAAAACAATAATACCTATCTGAATATTATTCACCGAATAATATATGAGTGTAAAAATTTAAGAATTAGAACAATTTATAAAAAAAATTTTAAAGAACGGTTTTTACTTCGTGTCAGAATTTTTTCATAGATACCTCAAGTTCACATTTGGACGAAATTATTAATTAGATATTTAAAGAATTATTCGCTGGGCTACTTGAAACTTTTAAAGTATAATATTATAATTGTATATTGTACACAATGATGTTATATTTATATGCACAATGAATTAATGAAATTTTCAAATATATGTTATAGACGAAAATTAATTTAACCTAGGTAGGTACTTAATATTACCGATAGGAAACTAAATTATTTGAATAACAATAATATCAAAAGTTACCTACCTACCTATACTATTCTTCACTCAAAATCGTTTTTCGTACCCAATGATTTAACATAAAATTCAAATTTAATGTACCTAATTATTGACACCTACTGTACGACAGAGTTGTTTGCCCACCTATTTTTAGTTTTTTTTTCTAGAAATATTAATTTAAAAAAGTATATGCCAATTCAAAAAACTTGAAAGTTTAATTTATTAGTTATTTAGCTATATTAGTTCTTCTTAAGCTGATTTTACTAGAATTATAAAACAAAGTTGAGCATAAATCCATAGGAAATAATTTTTTCTCAGCAAGTTCAATTTATGACATTGGATATTCGCACATAATATACCACACAATTTTAGATTCTGAACGGAGAGATAAATATATTAATTTTACAATAATGTGAGTGTTTTTTAAAAAAATTTTTTTTTGTGTGTGTCATCATTTTTTAGGACCGTAAAAGTGCTTAGATGTTCTTCAAAAGTATCTTTTCTGATAGGAAAATGGATCTAGTTGGTACTTTAAAGGTAAAAAGTAGCACAGGGAAGAACAAAACTAAAAGATAAACAGTAATTTTTACTCAAAATCGGTTTTCTACAAAATTGATCTTGGTTTTTGGTGTAGGTAATTTTAAATCAAAAGACCGTAGATACATGCAATTTTCACTGGTTGTTTAAATAAGTTTTTTCTACACAAAATACAATTTTCAAAAAATTTTGATTTGTTTTAAATTGTTTACGGACATTTTCAGTTATCAATTTTTTTTTGGGATTGTCAATGAAATTGTATTTGTTAAATAAAAAAACTTAATACAAGGCTAATAATATATTGTTACAATGGTATTTGAAAAATATTAAAAATCAATGAACACAATTTTTTTTATAAGCATTTAAAGTTCAAATCTTGACAAAATACGTATAAATTACGAAAATGTTCTAATTATTTTGAAATTCATAAAAAAATTTCTTTTTAGATCGAAGATTTTAAAATGTAATACAAGATTCCTCATAATTTTGTCTACCGCTATCCAAAAAAAAAAAAAAAAACAAGAAAGTCACATTAAAAATTCATATTTTCAACATTGGATATTCCTTGATATCCCATGTATAGCGATTTTCTTATTTTGTTGTAATTCAAAAACAAATAACTGTATAGATACATGAACATTTCACTGAATGTTTATATTTTAACATAAAATGTTGATAATATTTTGACTTGTTTTGAGCTGTTGACGGATAATTTCTATAAATAAAATTATAAATATAATTTTTTGTTGGGCTAAAAAGCCTTTGAATTCAAGGCTCCTGATATATTGTTGCAATAGCAGTTTAAAAATATTCAAAATACATAGGCACAAATTTTTTTTATAAGCATTTAATGTTAGATTTTTGACAATGTAATAATTATTTTCTAGTTAAAAATTTATAAAATGAACTTTTATAGCTAAGGATTAAAATTTTAAAACAAGGTTCCACGTAAATAGTTTATATATAAATTACTTTATAATCACAATAATATCATCAAATATACTTAGTAATATCATAGGGTGACTGACGTCTTCGCTCGGAATCGTTTTTCTTATACAATGATATTATATCATTGAATTCAAATTTAACACCATCCATTACAGTGACCCACCTGTAACCTACTGTACAGGCGTACAGCAGAGGGACACCTACTTGTCCAACTTTTTTTTTATTTGGTACTATACTTGAAAATGTATTAAATTTGAACATCATATAATATGTAAGTTATTATTTTCTATGATAGATGATAATTTCAAAATATTAGAATAATTTTAAGCTATATACAGGCAAAATTAGCTATTGTCTATTAATAAACCTTTTTATGCTGGAAAACAAAGTTCAAGCATTGACATTTTTCAATAATTATAATCCCTTTTTTCAGTAAATAAAAACCTATCAAATCTAATAGGTCATTCCTTTGAAATATTTCGTGTTACCACTTACCATTATCGTTGAACCTACTGTACTACTGCAGTATATGCAGTAAGTTGGAAAAATATATACATAAGAATACAATTAAAAGTCTAAAAAAAATGTCGAACTTTATTTAAAAGGTATCCATAGTTGAAAATTATAACTTTTATACTTTATATTTTATATAGACCTATCACCTATGTCATATTATAATGATTTAACAAGTAATGACTAATGAGTAGGTAATGACCATCATTATAGGTATGTGTTTATGAATTATTAGGACATAACGTCAGTATATTATGCATAATGTTTCCTTATGATAAAAATATTGGGGAATGGGGAGCGGAGGTAAGTATTTCTCTTTACCTTTTGCAAACTAACAAGGTAGCAATACTGTCAACCTGTTATTGGTATGTTATAAATAAATTTATAATATTACAATATTATATTCTTAGTATTTTCAACTAAAATTAAAATTTTATTTTGAAGATTTTTTTCAGTTTAGGTGATGTTGGGCCTGATCAGCCTAATCGATAACATATCAACAAAATTACAAATGACTAAAAAGTAAAAAAAAACGAGAACAATAAAAACCAACAATGTGTATCACCGGACCCAAATTGTCACATCATTCGCATTTGTTATATTTTTTTAATTAATAGGAAATTCATGGACTTACAATGCTAATTGGGCATAAAAACATCCATTTATATATAATATTGAAGACGTAATCAATAAATTGAACAAATTGGCCCTAAGTAGGTATCGAGGAAAAATATTTTATTGTTAAAAAATTAAAATAAATATAAATATTTTCTTATGAACAATTAATTAGTCAATGAATGAATGAAAAAATTGTATTATTCTACTAGGAAGAAAATATAAAACACAATAGCTATAGTTATAGCGCAGTGGTGTGGGCATGTGGCACAGTGTTTAAAAATATAAAAAAGCCCGCCGAAGTCTATTTATTTATTATGATTGAAATTAATGGGTTGAAAATTGATAACAGATTATTATTATTATCTATGGTTTTAGCTTATAGGACCAAGGACAGGTGAATATAGGTACATAATATACCTATATGGCCAGTGGCGTATTTACGGGGGGGGGGGGGGTCCCCGGGTCTGGACCCCCCCCAGAAAAAAATATAATATAATATAATTATTACATCGTAAATTCGTAACTAGTATGTGTTTTTTTTATATTATAAACTTGTATAGGTACCTAATATTTAGACCCCCCCCCACAAAAAATTTCAAAATACGCCACTGTATATGGCTATATATTTATATATCCACCTTGTATAGGACCTTGAAAATGCACGATTAGAGATACCTTTTAATTTGTTATATTTAGTACACAATAATAGTTAATTTTGGCCAACTTTTTTTTCATATTAAAACACCGTTATGTGGTGGGGCGTTATTTGCAAATATTCCATCCCCTCAGAAATTCAGAACTAAATCATTACTATGCCACTGGTCGAGTAATTTTACCTATGTACCATAAAAGATTATCTCATCTAGTCATCTATACAAAATATATTAATATCTATATAATTTTGCTCATGCTTACCATTAAAAAAATATTAGAATAAAACATTATTGATGGTTCAGTGTACATGAACACTACAAAATCTTTCCATTTTTCGTTTGTACGACGGCTATCCAAATATCTGCTATCGATCGACGTCACTGAACTATAACCTTCATACAATAACGAGGATCTCCTTATGTTATGCGTACTTTTATTATCGGCTGTAGACTGCTGCGGTGATCGTTGACTTTTATTCTCCTCATTATTGTTTTCTTCCACAGATAAAGGTTGTCCACCGTGAGCAGACGGGGTCTTCTTTCTTTTAACTCTTCTATTGAGCTCTACTTCTTCTAATGGATGTAAACTAGTTCGCCTTTGATTGAAAACGTCAGAGCTAGATGATTGCGAACTTGGGTTTGGAGGGTCATTTGGATTTTGTGAAACTGAGAAATAAAAATATTTTAATTTATAAATATTACGACCATCTATGACTCTTATTTTATCTACTTACTCTTTCAAGTGATCATTAGTTTGGATTTGTAAGAAATATAAGTATTAATTTGATATGATCATTATTAAGAATTTAGAATTAGATAGACTTAATAATAACGTTTTTTAAATTATAATTACCATTTTGATCAGAATCTGGTGTTTCGTCTATTTGTTGATTTCTATTATTTGCATTCCTATCATTATTTTGGTCTAAAGTTTTTGAATCATCATCACTCATGATAATACTATTTATATTAGTATAAACAAATAAAACAATTATAGTTTAAACTATGTTGTTTATTAGGAGGCTAATAATTATGATATATAGGTAGGTACCTACCTATAATACTTATTTGTTACTTAGTAACATCAAAATATACATTTTATATTATGTATAGTTACTATTGTGTATATTATAGCATTATATAGAGAATAGAGAATGTAACATATAATACCTACCTACTTAAATCACTATATTTTTTTTATAGAAATTTGAATATTTCTTATAATATATTATATATATTATTAATTATACCAATATAATTATGATAAACTAAAAATAAGTTTTTCAATTATTAAAAATATTGAACCTATCAGTTTCTACTTTTCCAAATACCTACGCATTCTTTCGAATTAACACAGTATACGCACAAATGCATAATAATATACATATAATACATTTATACATAATACATATTTAGATATACAGTGACACCTCCATAGGGGCAAATTGTGGGGGATTTGGGGTGCTAAGCCCCCTAAAAACCTAGGACATACAATTTTAATATGCTATATTGCAATGATCTGCTTGCCTTTAATACATTCAGCACCCCCAAGCCAAAAGTTGAAATTGCGCCTATGATGGACACCTCGTCACCTCCCAATATACCTGACAACACCGAAAAAGAGGACAAAATTTCAGTGACCGAGAGTGTTCGGTTTTTAGAGGTTTCGCTGTAATACACATATAGGCCCAAAAACACTTAGCCCTTAAAGCCCCCCAAAAATTAATAAATAAAATAAAATAAAATTTTGTTTTAAGCTTATTTAATATTATTAAAGTAGGGCTTTAACACCCACAATTCTCAAACGCTATTTCCGCCTATGGGTTATGAATAATTATACAAATTACAAGACGTAAAATAAAGAATAACTAACTATTTATAGTTTATACTATTACTATTACAACAATACAACCCATATGTGACCACTAAAAACAAACAATTCATAAAATATAAATAAATTATGATTTATATCCTACATCTTAAAATCCTAGAGTCAGCACTTCTTCCTAAGCCACTTTTCCAATTTTCCTTTCTATGAAAACCTTAACCTTTTTACGAACAATAAAAAAATAAGCCAAATCGGTGGAGCCGTTCTCAAGTGATCCGATTACCAATGGATTACCCAAACTGCCTGTCATAGTTTCATTTTTATTAAATATATATTATATATTATAGATTTTATTAGTAATTGGCTGCCGCAGTACCGCCTGCCATTAATTATTATAGTATGGTCACTATTATGGTTGCTAATATATAGGTATTAGTTCTGACTTCTATTTGGTGGAATAGGTTTATTTTATTTTATAACAATAATACAGGTCGAACATTATAATATATGGTGGGAAAATTGGTGGTTGACATTTCAAATAAGTTGTTTAAAATTCTGTAACTGTTTCTTTACATATTATAAATTCCATATTTAGTGATACACTGATACCTAACTTATAAACTAATGAACTGTAATTTGTAATGCTGCAAAAAAAAATTGTACTCACATGACCTGCGAATTTATCTAAGCACGCACAAACCTCTGACTCCCATCATACAGGTATAGAGTAAGTATTAATATTTAATGTGTACTACGAAATTCTTCTTTATACCTATACATTATTAGTCATTAATCATTAAATAGGTATGTACTATCATAGTAGTAATGTAGGTATACATAATGTAATATTGTAATATATTTATATATATAATATGTATCTACCTATAGGGCCTACTATACGGGACCTTCATATAATGTTAAAAAAAAATTAAATGAGGATTACTAATACAATATTTCGTTTATCTTCCCTTATAATCCCTCCATATGAATATATGATGTACCTATAACAATATTCCAATAATATAATAATATGTGGTTTGAGTTTGGACGAGTTTATGCAATATGTAAATGCGTTTGGGCTGTTTGGGAAATTCGATACATACCTTAAGATACCTGACAATATACCATAATTTAGACAATGTTTACAAAATGTCAAGTCAATCAAGGCAGAGGTGTATATAGAGGGTTTAGGGGTTCGACCCCCCCTCCCCCCGAAATGTATTGTTGGTACAGCATTTTATTACGATTAATTTATATTATTAATTAAATTTTTTTTTCTACACCCCCCCCCTTTTCATACACCACTGAGTCACGGTGGTCTGATCTGTCTCAACTGTATGCAATAAACAAATTAAAAATTTTGAAACAAATAATAGTTACATAATTAAACAAATTATTGTCATTTGTCACAAATTATACAAAATTAATGAGGAACGAAAAATGTTCTTTATTTAGGAACAGGGAAAGAAACTATAGTTCCATTATTTAAGCCAGAAAAGAGAAACGATTTAGTTCCCTTTTAACAAGATGAAAATGGACGTGGACTAATTCCTTTTTTAAAGGAACTTTCCAAGCACTGGAATGAATTTTCTTATTATAAAATTTAAAGGTAAGATTATTATCTAGAGCCCCATGTAGTCCATACGTTTTATTGATATTATTGTTTCCAAGTAAGTTATGACCTTTTTGAAACTGGATATTTTAAAATTTAAATGATCATAAGTTACTTAAAAATAACATTAATAACAATATTAATAAAAGCCTACGTGTGGCCCTAGAACCTAGATAAAAATATTAACTTTAAATTTCATAATAATTAATAATATTATGACCTATTATGAAATTCACTCTAATATCAAAAGTCAAAACCAACATCACACTATATTGAAACTGGTCGACGAAAATTTACCATGTGTGTAAGACGCAGACAAGACAATATTCGGGTACCCGAGTACGACATCCTCTTAAGGGGATTCGATACCGTGATTTTCTGTTTTTGTCCAACACACGCGCGACATAGTATTTTAGATGTGTTTTTTGCCAAACATACCAATTGATCTAATGATAAGCGATAAGAATTCTGAAAACAGATTTGAATTTGTCGTCAAGTCTACTTGAAATCGGCTATCCCACATTTTTGATATTATCGCCCAAATTTTTTAAAATGTCATATTCAAAAAGAGTATTTAAAAATTCTGTTATTTAAATTTTTGGAGAAGTTAAAATCAAAAAATCAAAAATGTGGGAAAGTCAATTTCAAGTAGACTTGACGGTAAATTCAAATCTGTTTTCAGAAATCTTATCGCTTCAATAGATAAATTGGAATGTTTGGCAAAAAACACGTCTAAAATACTATGTCATGCGTGTGTTAGACAAAAACAGAAAATCACGGTATCGAATCCCCGTAAGTAATACAATACAATTCGGCAAGAACTAGAAATATGGTCTTACTTATTTGAGTTTATTTAAAAATGTCAAAAATCAGAATTTGAATAAATTCATCATCAAAGGAAAAATTAGGAGAGATTATTCTCGGTGAATCACCCCGTATATACATATTTCTAATCACGAGTAGGTAGCTAATATTATAAAATATCTATAAATTATAATGTAGGTAGGTACTCAACGATACTTTTCTGCAGTAGACATTGAAATCAATTCTACACGACTACACGTAAATATGTTACATAATATACGTAACTGTGTGTCTATATGTATAAGTATATACTAGATAAGTATAGTATATGTACGTAATAAACAAAAAAAAATGTATTATTTTGTTGGCAGCTGCAATGAGTCTAGATGCAAGTTAATGATGTATATAATAGTATAATACTATCATGCAGTTGGCGAATGACACTTGTTTAAATACTCAAAACAGAAGGAATAACGTGTCATGCGATAACACTTTTTCGTGTCATATTGTTTATCGTTATTGTATTAAAGAAACTCTGTGTTATTCTATACTTTAGAAAGTTACCTATCGTTTTTGAAACATTACAACTATATTTATGTGTAGTCAATAAATTATCTTATATTTATCTATATCACCGGATTACTAAAATCATGTTGAATAAAGCGTCATTAGCAATCAAATACTTGTTATTTGTCTTCAATTTGATAATATTTGTGAGTTTTTTTCTATACCTACTTTTGATTTAAAACTTTTGTGATATATCAATACTAGTCAATACTAATATTAGCTATACCTAAAAATCAATATTGTATTGTACTTATGTAGCTTATGAAATAATGTGTAAGCACGAATTAAAATATATATTTTAATTTGTGGTGTACAGTGTACATTACTATTATAGCCTATAGGTAACTATATAATATGTTTAAACGGATGTTTAAACTTCGATCAATTAAATAAACGATAAATGAATATATTTTATCGTGGTTTAAACACTATATTATAGTGAATTTAGTGTATATTCTAACTATTCTGTGTATATACCATAGATATAGGTACGGCGTACACGAATTCTATAGTTACAACTCATAATATTCTAAAAGATAAACCATTTATAATTCATATTATTATGAGTTATAATCAACCTCATTTTTCAGAGGCTCTGACACCTACCATTGGACCAACACCATCCACCCATTAAAAGAAGGGTAACCCCTTGACTGATAGGTCCGGCGCCACTATCTGGTATACAATGTATTTGACGCACACATACCTATGTGATAAATGTGATATGTTTATAATCGTATTTAAATATAAAATACAACGAATATTATAATAGAATTAATTGTAAACTACTTACTAATTACTTACTAATAATACTATACTTATAATAGAATTATTAGTAAATTATATTAAAACAATTATTATAAAAATACAATAAATAGGTACCTACCTATAGAACCTAAAATCTAAATTATATTATATAAATATATAGGTTAGGTTACCTTCATAAATCATAATTATTATACATATTATAAAACTCCAATATATTTAACTATTTAAATTATATATAGGTATACCTCGTACCTATTATATCCTTCTATCCGCGTCCTATTATATAGACTCTATACCTATATCATATTATTTGTACAAGGAATTTTTAAATGTAGGACACTCATTTATCAGTCAATTTATGTGTACAACTTATTCAAATTTAATATTCAATAAACTTTTTTTAAACGAAAACCACTGTTTATAATTTCATATTCTGGCAAAGAATATTTTTTTGGACATTTATCGATTATTATTGAACGTTTGAACTAGCTACTTAATAATATTTATAAGCATAATAATATAATATTATAACCACAGAATAGATGAAAATATATTTAAATATTGGGAAAACAAATTAACACTGTGAGCGCTGTCGACGCCTATCGTACTGATGGTTGGGCGGGGTTCCCCCCTACATGCAGTCGGGACTCGAGTCGGGTTTTCGCGGCATTTCGAATACATTTTGCTTTAAGTGAAGTGAATTTGAACGTATTTGATAATATTAGTAGAAATTATATTTACCAACATATACAGTTAGCTATAAAAGCGTATAAAGTTTCCATAGCAAAATTAATTTATTATAAAAAGTAAAATAACCAACATAAAACTATATCTATACATCCCGAATTGGAAGGTACAAATTGTTTCCACCAGAGCGCGTTTTGTTAATTTGTTTCCCCAATAGTATAATTTCAAATATTCTGTGATATAACTTTGACGGAGTGGTGTAATGCAGTACGGCTATCCCCTGCGGCTATAATTATATGCACTTTTATTACTTAAACTTGAAATATTTATTAATAGACATCTATATTATATTTGTCCAATAAACGTTATTGTTATAAATCAACAATTAAAAAAAAGTTTTGTGTCAAAAATTTAAACTAAAAATATTAATTGCCATTTAAAATAATATAACAATTATAGGTACCACTTTCCTCTAAAAAAATCACAAATTTAAAATTTTTTTACGAAGCCATATATAGGTAGGTTACTATAGATTATTCTTATGTAACATAATTATTTTGTTCTAGTATTTTGTAAACAATTGCCCAGCAAAACGTGTATACATTATAATAGGTAATTTGCCGTGTAGGTACCTACATAATATGTAGCTAATATCACTTAAAGGTACGTAATGTATAGAATATAGATTATAGTATATAACTATTATATATTTATACTAATAAACTATGGGTACATTATATACAATATAATATACCTACATGGTTACATATTATTAATACATTATGGTATGCATAATTTATTTTTAATATTTCTTTGAAATACGAATGTAATAAAAATAACATACCTAAATACATTTTAATCTACCTATGTATACGATTTTTATTATGAAGTAAATTGCGTTTAAATGATCTATAAATATACGTTCGGATCACTGTGCCAATGCGCAATACCGATTAAAGGTGCCTACGCTGCAATATTTATAATTTTAAACTAAAGCAATCTGTATAAGATAATATAAATATTACCGGATTGCAAACATATAATATTCTTAATTGTATTAATAACAATAACAAATTAAATATTTAGACGCATTCAAAGCATACATGATACATTAATTATACAAATATCTACATCTACACATTTGTTCAAAGGTTAAACGTGTCAAAATGCATTAATATTTAACACGTAGTCTTGCCAAAATTATCAGTAAGATTTGAAATAATTACCTATCATTAAGTAGGTATCAAAACATGGGCGGATAGGCCATTTTTGGCCTATCAGGAAACTATTAAAAGGGGCCCCCAAATGAAAGAAAAAGCTCGCAGGTACATTATTTGGTGAATTATATTAGCTACCATATCAAAAGAAAACAATGTATAACAAAACACATTTTTTAAATCATTTATTTATTTTTTAATTTTAAAATAATAACAACCGTGACCGGGAGATGGTATTTTGCGTCAATTTAATTACTTGTAATTTGTGCCACCAATAGGTACATTTAAGCTCGTATGTAATTTGCACCAAAATATAAAAATTAAACATGTAGGTACCTACTTTGCGCCACTTCTAAAAATTAATTTTGGTAATTTGTGCCACTACGAAAAACGAAATGGAATATGTAATCCGTGCCACACTTTCAATTTTAATTGTTGGAATTTAGCAGCAGATACATTTACTGACATCGCATCGAAAATACGATAATACCAACGCTTGCCGGATATAATATTATTGTTGTGTTCTACTACTTCTACTAATAATAAATAGAGAAGAGATCGAAATTTAATAAAAATTGTCAACTGTCAAAATATCGAACAATATTGAACAACAGTATATCTAAGCGAGTTAAAAAGTTAAAGTTAAGTTAATCGACGTTGAAGTTGGTGGTCGTAGGTGATAAGAAATCTTTTGTAAAATACCACAGAACAGTAATAACGAATAGATTTATAGATATAAGATTAAAATATAATATTTCAAATTTCTATTGTAATTGTATAACATTAATGAGTCATTGCGTCAACCATAAAAAGGGCCCCATTGCCGAAATACGAAGGGGGGGCCCACCGGGAAATGCCAAGTTTCTCAGTAGGCCTATCCGCCCATGTATGAAAATAATAGAAGATATATTATCAAGAATAGGTACCTACTATATAGTCTATAGTTGTATCTGATGCACGTTATACTTAAATTAATATTTTGAAAGTTAATGATTTCTAATTTAATTTCTTTGATATGCGTAGTAACTAATAACTAATTATATTATACACTTGTATTATCTAACTTTACTTTTAGATAGGTATTAATTACTATGTAGGTAGGGCGTAGTACTATACCTACTAACATATTTATCTTGACTATTTTCAAAATAGTATTTTGTAGGTAGTTTATATTTTTTTCAATTATTGGTAGTTGGTAATTTTATAGTTATACATTTACGGATACCTATAATATAATAATATAAATTATAAATTACTAACTAGGTATAATTGGATTGAACTATTAAATCAATAGATAGGTACATAATTTTATTCGTAATTCGTACCTATCACATCAAAATGTTATTGTTATTTGTTATACTATTATAGGTATACAGTGTGTTTCACTTAGTGTATTTTATATACTTAATATTTCAGCTGGATAACTTTAAATTGAAATGGGGATTTTTGAGGAAGATGGAGAATTGAAAATACTTAAATGAATATGTACCTAAGGCTAATTTTATTTTCAAATTGTTACCTATCCCTTTCTCATGTATGTGCGTGCACAATACAACTTATATTTTTTAACTGTAACACTTAATATTATATTACTTATAGTTCAAAAATATCTAGTTTTTCAGCAATTTTTATGAATAAATTTTTTTTCAATCTCAAAAATTTACCGATTTATAAACACGGGCACACGGCTGTGGATATTATAGTATCTATATAGGTATCCATAAATTATAATGTGCATAAGCTATACCTAAAACCGATGTATTTAAATAAACTTTCTATCCCTCCTCTCAATGTGGGATGTTATCTATCAGCTATCCTGTTGAAGAGATGACAGATTAGGGTTATAATGTATATACAATTCTACTTTTGTTCTCGTATATGTAATTAAATTATTACTAAAAAATAAAAATAATGAAACATGACAAAGTATAAAGGGGTTTTAATTTTTATTCAATTAAGAAAAACACGCATTTGTTTAAATTATAAACTGCTGTGAGTCAATCAATTTCTGAGATAGAAAAAGTGTTTACTCATCAATTGCTGGTAAAAAATATAATAATCTATAGTTTATTCGGAAGTAACATTTATGCTGGGTTGCATAAACAATTTATTAAATTTAATGGTTCACTAAAAATTTAATGGACTAATCACGGGCCACTAAATCTTGTATTTGTATAAGGGACTATTGATTCATTAAATGTTTTGTGAAATCCAGCATTAGTGTACTATTTTAATGAAACAAACTTTAGATATGCGATGCCATATTATTCATTACTCATAGATGACGATAGCTTTTAAAAAAGATTTAAAATTGTTATGTGGCGATCGGAAAAGTTAATTTTAACTACCTATAGTTAAAGTAAAAACACTTGGGTAATTTATAAAAAAAATTTTTTTTTAATTTTTAGTTGAGTGGAATTTTATTATTAACCCTTGGATTATCAATTCGTAACGTTTACAACCAATATGAACAATTTTTAACAGAGCACTATTTTACTGTGCCGTCTCTGTTGATTGTCATCGGTCTCACAGTTCTAACAGTATCATTTTTTGGATGCTGTGGCACATTTAAGGAAAACAATTGTATGATGATCACCGTAAGTGCGATAGTTGCCTATTTCTTAAAGTTAATACATGTAGCCGCAGTCTAGATTGTATAAGTATTTTATATCAAATTTTATTAATATTACATTTTTATTTATTTTAGTTCGGATTTCTTTTAGCATCGTGTTTTCTAATGGAAATCGTAGGCGGTTTAGCTGGGTTTATATTATTGGAAAAAACTCATTCTGTAGTGACATCAAAACTACACGAAACTATGATGTTTTATAACAAAACAACGCACATAACACATATATGGGATGGACTTCAAACATCTGTAATGACAAACATTTACATGCATTTTTACGCATAACAATGAAAAGGCGTATAGGTATATAAACTACCTACCATGTTTATTGTTTAGACAATTATTAAATTAATTTGGCAGTTTAAAATTCTTAAAATATGTGACAATAGCTGGTAGTGTTCACTTCTGTAGTGAGTTAATGAATAATGATCATTTCCCAGTTTCCACCCTTATTGAAATAACAAATATTAATTTTACGATAGCATCAATAATATTATATTAATATAGGACAATGTCATTTTTATTTTGAATAATTTTTAGTAGATTGTAGATATACTTACAACTTACCTATATAGTAGTTCTTGACTTAATATGCTTATTTCTCAACCGTAATTTTCAAATTAATATTTTTGACATTTATAATAACACAATACCTACAAATTTGTTTCTTTTTTACTATAAAGTACAAAAATTAAAATTTTTGTGTAATTAAAAATCGACGACGGACGAGTAAAAGTCTTGTAAGAACATATCTACAGGGTTTTTTTTAAATTTTTAAATTTTTATAAGCCTATTTAGTCATAAAATATTATGACTCAACAATTAAAATATAGTATGACATATAAAATTAATGATGTTTGTTAGCATGAGCAAAATGTATAAACTAAAGTAAATAAAGATAAGCAATTGTAGGTATGGTCTGATATACGATGAAAAGATAGATAAAAAGGGAAAAACCTGTACCCTATGGACAGAAACGTTTGTTGACAATCTCGGTAAGGAGTTTAATTAGTGGAGTAATCAAGGAGTTAAAATTAGAAATAAATTCTGATAAAACATTTGAGATGGATTCCATGGAAGAGGTTACCGTTTTGGTCGCTGCAGCATAGAATTTCCTTGGAAGCTGCCGAGCATGATCTCCTGGGACATCGTTTGACGAAGACTTTGTAGGCGTTGGTACATTTGTATTGTTGGAGCGGAGTGCTAGTTTTTTGTTTTTGGACAAATCGAACTTTTTATGAGACGGGCAACCCTTAAAGTTGGCAGTGTGATCGCCAGAGCATAAGGCGCATTTTGCGGGCAGATCACGCGGCTTGACGCACTCTTCAGTGAAATGATCCTGGCCACATTTCACGCAGCGAGGAGGGTGGCAACAATATCTTAACGTATGTCCATAAGATTGGCAACGCTTGCATTGAGGGTGACCTCGAGTTTTTTTTAATCTTGGTTTTTCAACGATGATTTTAAAATTAAGTAAATTTGAGACGTTAAATATATTTCTATTAAATTCATTGTTCTCGAGTTCAATAGCGAAAAGAGATAGTGGCAACTTATTAGTCCTATTTATAAGATTGGAGACACTTACGACTGAGAAACCCAGTGCAGATAGAGCTGTATCGATATCTACCTACTGTATCTGTGGAATGGTGAATATTGCGAATGACTGCTTTAATTGGGCACAAATGACGCGGACGAAAAGTGTGGAAAGAAAAATCCTTATTTTCGTCCATGAGATAATTTATAATTAGTGAGTGATACCTATTTGCAATTTGAAGTTTTAATTTTTAAAACATCGTTGGATGCAGATAGGGTGAACCCATCCGGCCCCGTTATACGGATAAGGTCACTCTTAAGCGCATTTACGTTGGCAATATTTTTGATAAATATTGGGGGAGTCTTCAGATGCTCACTAACCGATGGGTTGTTATCTGGTGTTTCGGGGTCGACCGTGACTGCCTCTTGAATGGAAGGTGAGGTTGATACCGGGGGAGGGCTGAAGACTTCGTTTGATGAATCAAAATCGTCCGCGAGAGCGGCATATTTGTTGATGGAGACGTAGACTTTGGATTTTTAGTCACCGGTTTCAGGCGACGACGAAGTTGACGATAGATTTCGTTTGTGTGGTGTATTGGAAAGCGGCATGTTCAGTTTTTATCTAATATAAAAACCCCGTCTTTTAACGAGCGATATTAACACTAAAATTAGCCATAACTGTGCGATAACACTAACGAGCGCGAGGCGTATGGTCCGGACCCCATGGACGGGGGGCTCTGGCTACGCCACTGTGTATAATGTCTAATGTATAAAATCCTAATTTGTTAAAGGGGACGCTTCTTAACCTCCGTCAGAGGTAGGGGAACTGAGTATCCTCAGTTAATTAATTTTAAAGTTCCTACTCACTTAACTAGGTCTAATTCTTTCTTTGTTGTCCCATTCCACAGCACCAACTAGTCCAACTATGGTAGAATCCTATTCACCGTATGATGCGCATTTGTAACGAGCACCTAGGCTTCTCTTAAACTTTTATTTATAGTATTGTAATCAGTTATTCATATTTTTTTACTTTTTGTTCATTATTTGTTAATACTTTTATTTTTGTTTTTTATATATTTGCCATTTGTTTTTTATACTATTGTATTGTTTGGTGTTTGCTTACGTAATTATTAAGTTATTTTGTTTAAAAGGAATTTTTCTAATATTGTATTGTACTATTGGGCCCCCACCCCGTTCATAAATAAATAATAAATAATAATAATAATAAGATTATCTATGTATCAAGTATCAGAACCATGAATGTGATAGCCGATAGACTTGGCTATGAATAGCTTATACACACACACAAACATTGCCTTTTATTGATATAGATAGGTAGGTATAAATCCTGAAATAGTGTAATATTATTGCAGTTAGTCAGTTATTATCCTGGTCAGTTACAGAGCCCATGGTAGTTAGGTAAACATCTAAAAAAGATGCATGGAAAGTTGAAATTAAATACGCCTTTTTATGGAAATTTAATTGAATTTGATCATTTTCAAACAATAATACCTACCTACAGTTATTTTGAAGATCAAATAATGAATATTTTTTATAATTAATTAATTAAAGATATTGTTTAAAAAAAGTTACATTGTTGTGGAGCTGAGAAATTGGATGACTGGTATCCCATACTTGAAAACCAATTACCTATGTCTTGTTGTGGATCATATGATGGAGCAATAGATCATCAGAATTGTACAGCATCTGAACCAACTGTTTACCAGCAACCATGTTATGTGTCATTATCAAAAATTGTAAAAGAAAATGCCAGTACGTTAAGTGGTGTTACTATAGGAATAGCGTTTTTGCAGGTTTGATGAATATCGTTTATTAACAAATATAAGAAAATATTATTATTCGACCTATTAATATTATTTTTTTTAGTTGGTAGGTATTATGCTGTCATGTTCATTGTCAAAGTCTATTCAAAAAAGTTATAAACAAGTTTGAAATCATACGTACTATTGAAACAATAATGCCAACCTGGCATCTATTTTTCAACTAATAAATACATTTTTTTATAAAAATATAAAGAGATAAATAATATGTACATTAGAAGATATTATATTTATCTTTCAATGATATAAACTTTATTAATATATGTAAACGTGTTAAATGTATAAATAAGTTTAAAATAATAAATACCAAGCAGTAATGGTAATAAGAGTTTATAACAATTACCATTACATTAAAAATGTTTTGGTATAAGATGATCGATGGATATTTTAATTTTGTAGAAATTAATTAATTATTAATTTAATTACTTATAATATCATATTATATAAGTTGTATTCGATTACATTTTTCATAGTTTTGGAATGTAGAGACAGACGCTATAGCATCCCTTGCCCTAAAATATATTTGCGTAATATTATTTATTATATATTTAAAAACTCTAGATACCTAATGAACAGCAGATCGTTATTACCAACTTACTATTATTAGTGATCTAATATTGTAAAATTGTGATTGAAAGTTTGTTGTAACTAGGTACTTATAAATTTTTTTTCGAGTATATTCAATATTTAATATTTTTTCGAAATAAAATAAAATATAATATTAATATTTTATAAATTATCTACATGTCTTAAATTTGACCCAACAATTTTTGTTATTTGCCCTTTAAATTGAGTAGCATCCCTTGCCCTTTTTTATCAGTCCGTGCCTGTGTAGAGAGGTGTTTCTGGTGGCTATAATAGTTATAATTTGTAAGACATAATATTATGTTGTACTGATTCTTGTTAACTATAATATTATAGTTAATAAATTATAAACTAAAATCATGAAAAACACATATTATATTCAAATAAAATATTACATTTTTACCAAAAACATTTAGCTTTTTGTAATATATCACAGCTTTCAGTATACTTTTCTCCACCTTTTAAATAGGGTGGTGTGAATTCTCTGTAAGCAATACATACTCTTCTTTCATGAATATCTTCTCTGAGTATACAATGTTCCCATAAATATCTAGGTTTTCCATATAAAACTAAAAGTGATCTTCTTGGCATTAATATTCGCACAACATCAATTGGATAATTATCACGATTTACTGGAATTGGCAAACATTGGACATTTGGTATATAGTCTATGTTGTACTGATTACTATATTTGATGTTGTGTGGAGTTAAAGTAAGTACAGTATCAGATTGCAAGCTTAATGTTATAATTCTTTCACCCCAAATCCAGCAATCGTCTACATGAGGATCAATTGATGCACCTATTTCTGGTCTGTATTCCAATGAACACTGCTCTATTGTAAAATAATTCTTCATAATTGGAATTTTATCAAAACGATCTTGAACAAACTTTGTGGACAATGGAAAACCATTGAAATTGCCCATTGATAAACGACGCTTTTTAAAGTTACACTTAGGTCCAAAGTTCTAAAAATATATTTTTAATTTAATTTAAATTAATAGTAATAAAACAAAATGTATTTACTTGTTTTCTACGACCACTTTGTGATACATCCCAAGGCATAGCATCTAAATTCTTCATTAGCTTTGTTTCTTCTTCTTCCGTGATAAATTCATGTTCAATAAAAATGCCATCTAAATAGTATGATGTACCAGTATGATTTGGATGGTTTTTATATTCATATGCATTCCAGCCACTCCATAGTAAATTGCAGTAAGAACAATATGATGCATTTGATAATTTCTAAAAATCAAACTATGCAATAAATAAAATAACAAATAAAGATATGTATAGTAACTAACTTTTAAACTGTCAGAATTGATAGTAGGAGTTAAATTGAATTCTTTTTCACATACAAAACAAGTTCTAACTCCTTTACATCCACACAGTTTTGATCTGTCCATCTATAACATTATAGCAAATGTAAATATAAGAATTTTTATGTCATTGTATTTTACTCTAACTATTGAACATACATTAATTCAATAATAAATTAAATCAAATTGTACATTTTAGTATTTAAGGTAGGTACATAATTAATAACAAATCTAGAGTATAAAAATATCATCAAATCACTTGTCTTATACATTAAGTATTTAGATTTATTGAATTGTCTATTGCATTATAGCACCAATCACCATTTTTTTTATATAGACATTAGTATGAAAATTTTCTAAACAATTATATAATTTAATTTAATTTGAAACTTAACCTAATTAGTAATTTAAAAATTAATCTTGTCTGAAGAATATTAAATTATAAAGTGAAAGTAATAAATATAAGTCTAATTTACCGTTTCTTCAAGTACAATAATATTGGACATAGACACCATATTCAATGTCCCTAATAATTTATACCTATGTGGCTATGTTCTTTAATTTATTTATCGAACACATTGGAAATAATCCCTAAAATATAATAGCTACTAGATAGTTAAAAATTAAATTGTATTGTATACTTAAATATTTTAAAAATTAAAAACCAAACAGAAATTGTTTAAAACTAAATAGGTACTAATAGCAAATATAGTGTTTCAAGATGAATATATTATTTTTTATTATTAAGAATTCAGATTCAGAAAATGCTATAACCATTAACATATTTCATTGAATATAAAAAAAAATAAAAAAATAAATATTTATTACAATTTATTTATCTTAGATTTTAACCTTATTTGTTAATCTAAACATAGTAATTAATTGCAGTAAGCTAATAATAAAACAAAAATATAAAGACCACAACGGTTTCCAATATAAATATTTATTAAACTTTTAACTCATACATATTGTTTCCTTTTTTAATAATAATTGCTTCATTGTTTAATAAGTCTACAATGTTGTAGAAATCTAAAGTGGCGATGCTTAACTGTTTCGAAAATAACTTCATTTGATCTATACTAAACATTCGTTCTGTTTTACCATGTCTTTGCAACTCAGCTAATAATTTCCGTGATTGTGCTCGAATCCCCGTTTTTTTTACACTTTTCTTGAATCCAAATCCGCTAAATTCATCCCATTGAGTTTTTACAAGACTAAAATTAAGCAGTTCAATTATTTCATATGCATCTTTTGCAGTCACTTCTTCTCGAAGTTCTACTTTAGCACGTGCTTGTGCAAGTCTAATACATGACTCTAATTGTCTTACCGTTATTGGAATACCATAGCTTAAATTGTTAGTACGTAGTTCAATAAAAAACTGTTGTAACATTTCTTTGGCTTCATTCGACAGAGTTGGAGACGAAACATATTTTCTCGCATATGCAATATATTTACGTAATTCTGCTTGAGAAATATAGTCACTACTATTTTTACTAAATTGTGATAATCGCTCTTTCAGTGAACTTTGAATTTCACAAGTATTGTTTATATTCTGGGTTTGATTCACCTTATTTGTATGTATATTAAGCACATGTTCAGTAAGATGTCTATCAGTCACCTCATCTGGTGTGTCTATAAGTAGAAAAATTAAATCAAAACGAGATAACATTGCTTGACTCATTTTCAAATTATCTAATACACTTTTATCTCGGTCATAGTGTCCACCAATAGGATTTGCAGCTGCCATTATAGTAGTACGACAAGGTAAAGAACAAATAACTCCGCCTTTTGCAATGCTTATTGTTTGTTGTTCCATAGCTTCTAGTAATGTATTATGATCTTGAGTCATTTTATCGAATTCATCAATACAACACACACCTTGATCAGCTAAAACAACAGCTCCAGCTTCTAAAGAAAAATCAATACCTTTCTCTCGAGTCATACTAACTGTTAATCCTGCTGATGAACATGTACTTCCACAAACAAACACACCCCGTGGTGAAATGTTGCACACAGATTGAAGCATTTGTGATTTTCCAAGACCAGGATCACCAATGACTAAAATATGAATATCTCCACGTGTTTGATTTAAATTACAGGTACTTCCTCCAAATAGTGAAAGCAACATACCAGCTTTTACCATTTCATGACCATAAATCCCTGGACATAATGAATTTACCATAAGTTCAAAGAGATATGGTTTTGAATGGAGTTTTTGGATACAGTAATAATCTCTCATTGTAAATTGAAATGTAGTACTAGTTACCTTTCCTTTAGACTGGTTTTTACTGTTTTGTATGGATATTACTTCAACATATTGCATAAAAATGTTAGATTCTTTACTTTGAGCATTTTGTTTACCAGTATTACATGATTTCTTTTTCACAATACCAGTTACAGTAACAACATCTCCAGGGATACAAGAATAAACCAAATCATTTGTAAGTTCACATTCAACAGTTCTGGGTACTCTACCACTCTCTCTCTGGTCATCGCTTTGTAATTCTTGAACTCTAATAGTTTGACAGTTAATAGTTTGAGTAAGTGGTGAATTTCTACAAACAGAAAATGAACGGATACGGCATGCAGCATTGCTGCATTGCTTTGGTTTTAAAAATATACCCTCAGGTTGTTTGATATTTTGAACTGAGCCACAGGTATTACACGAAAATCCCAACCACAAACATTGAAATTTCAAACTGCTGGCTTTTATTACAGTTCCATGAACTAAAATTAGTTTTCCATCTGTATCAGCTCTTAAATTTTTCAAATGAAAAATTGGACCAAAATTTATAATTCTAGGATGAACAATTGGCAAATTTTTAAACTTAGAACAGTCATCATGAATATTTTTATTTAATTCTTCTAATGCATACTGATGAATAGCAAGTCCTAAACACTGCAATGTGTAATTTGGGCGGTTTGTTAAATCATCCCAAAATTGTGACCAGACTGTGGTGAAATCTTCATCTTGGTTTAAAGACTCTACATTTAAAAGATATGATTTATTTTCTACAAGTTGTTCGATAGAAATATTTTGTTCATGAGTGTTTAAAAATGATATACTAGCCAAAATACATTTTACGGCTATACTATTTTCATCATATTTTTCATTTGGAAAATAAAGCTGCCATCCGTGAAATGGACATTCTTGAAAATATTCATTAATAATATTCACATTTGGTTCATTATTTTTAGTATTTTTTTGTTGATTATTTTTACTTTTATATTTTTTCCAATGTCCGCCACCTCTCCATTTATTTTGATTAGGATTACTCATAACAGTATTCCACAAAATAAACTGAAAGTAATCAAAATTTAATTTAATTACAAATCTTCATAAATATATAAATACAAATTATAAAATATTTATTTTTCATTATGTAAGCTTTTTAAGAATACATGAATGCAATTAGGTATCTTACGACATAAATAAAATTAAATGCAATAACTAAACAATATAAATTAATAATGAAAATATATATTATCTACCAAATAAAAAATGTAATTTTAATTTAACTTATTATAATGTACATTTTAATTGTCAATTAAAAATACCAATCATTTAGGGCCAGTTGTACCGTCTATGATTAAGCTTAATCGGCTGATATCAGATATTTAAACAGGCAAATTCGGCCGATTAAACTCTGATTAACCATAATCATAGACGGTACAACTGGCCCTTATATCAATAAATATTGAATAATATAATGGACAATTTAAGAGGACATCACACTCGCATATTATGTTGTTATATACTTCAGCAGTTTCAATATTGTGCTGTTGTTTTGATATTGTGAATTGACCTATTATCAAAGTTATAGGTAAGTGCATTATCTGTGTTCTCTAGTCGGTTTTTTACATTTTTATGTGAGTTTTAAGTAAAATATAAATATTTTAAAATTCTCATAATTCACTTAAATATTAAAATAAAGTAAAAAAACCAACGAGGGAACACAGGTAATGTTCTTACCTTAAAGTTTGATAATAGGTCAATTCACTCTAATATCAAAACTAACAACACACTATTGAAACTGGTGAACGAAAATGTACCATGTCTTAAGACTAAGTGTAAGACGGAGACAACAGTTGAGGGTGTGACTTCCTCTGAAAATGATTTTTATTCAAATAAAACACTGTACTTCATATTTTAATTGAATAGGTATACTTACTTTGGAATTAAACGGCACAAATTCAATTTATATATTACTATTTAAATAAAAAGTATTTTAGAAATTAATTTGACATAAAACTAACATTTCTAAAGTATTAACTAGTATACAGCATTCTTATGCCATGTCGTATAACATATAATTAATCGGTACTTACCAGTAGTAAAAATGTTAAACGTTCTATTAAAATTCCTCTGAATAATGAGTAGATGGGTAGATGGCCGCCTGTAGATCCTTATTAGTACTACGAAATTAAACCAGAAATATGAATTAAGTATTACCCACGGACTAAGATATAATTATAGATAATTCTTCTATTATCTATGCTCAGACTCGTATAATATCACAGAACAGTAATATGTTGTAATCTAGTATCTATATACACACTACCACAGAATAGAGAAATGACACTACAGACTACAATTACGTCATATTTTGTTATATCACGATTCGTGTTTTATGTCTGATTAGTGCTTAAAAATTTCGAATAGAGAGCCTTGATAGTTGACAAGGGGTGGCCATATCATTCTAAAAGTGAAGCGAAAACGGGGTACTTGCAGTGCAACCATCATATGAAAAATAAATTGTTGTAAATATACTAACACATTATTTTATTTCGAATAATAAAAATTAATTTTAAAATACGAAGAACAAATTTTACAAAAAAATATATATACTAGTGGTTCTTATTATAATATACAAATATATAATAATATTATGGTGAAATGTAATATTTTCGTTTTCATTTTTTTGTTTCTGAGTCCGAGCGCACAAAATACAGTTGACCATGATGATTTTAGGCTAGACTCGCGTTACTCACAATTTTACAAAATTTAAAATACAGTTAAAAATTATAATTATAATTAAAATTATAATTTTTAATGCTAATCAAACATTAATCATTTCTTATCAGTTATCACCATAGACCATAGAGTAATAAAATATAATGTCGATTATCCATTTAATTTCATGGTCGAAAACGCCATCTAGTGTTCACTAGAGTTGTAAGAGGGGTACAATGGCGTTCAATTTTGCTTCGATTTGATAATCATAATATCTGCCTAATGCCGCCTCTATAGTTTTATTACTCTATGATAGTTGATATAGAGATATTATAGATAAATATCAATGCTCTCTAATTTCGAATAATTTCAATAACAAAAAAAATAGGATTTCAATTATGGTCAAGTGGTTTTTCCATGATAAATAGCGATAAGAATATTTCAAGACAATTGATAAATTATTTGTTTACAAATACCAGCTATTCCATGTTTATTTCAATTCCCAGTTGCATACTTGCATACGCCATTGACGGCTTTGCAGTTTGCACTTTATTCTTTACGCGTTGTCACTAATGGAGTAATGGACCACTCCGCCGCAGAGCAGTATTGCTATACTATAAATTATAGCAAGTAGCAAACAACGTGTACCTCTCTGGCAACCTACTAACGACAAGCAGTAAGTATCTCTAGAGAATATATATAAAAACAACTTAACTATATAGATAGCCGTCCTTATACTACAGTTGTGACCGGTGTTGAAGTCGACCGCCGTTTATAAAGCAGGAAATGTTGAAATTTATTTATATATATACATAAGCAAATAGTTGGGAACAACCATGATCAAATAGTAGGCAACAGCCATGATCAAATAGTAGGGTATGGTCCAGAAGTCCAACATAACTTAGGAAAAATTCAAAAAAAAAAAAAATTATAATAAGTAAATGCTATACTCTATTCAACTTGAGAGTACAGCAGGCGGTCGATGAAAACACGTCATGTTTGCGCATGGCTCTCCTTACTAATACATGTCAGCATACGGTCGGTAACAATCGTTTCCAAAGATACGATGAAAGCAAAGATTGTTTCCGAATTAACAATCATGATTTTTGTCATAATTGAGCCTTTTGGCCGACCAAATGTCCTGACTTTACCAGGTAGTATTGGTGATTCTTCTATTATAGGATAATTACCCTGACTGTTACAGTGTACTGAGTCTACAGTTTCAACAGCATCCGCAATATCATTCTCTATAATCATATTATTTACATCCACAACATCATTATCTGCACCTACACAGTAATTTATATTATTAATACCTTAATATTCCCATTAGGGAATTTAGCATTGATTGATGCCAGGGTCTTGCAGTCTTTAATAAAATAGTCAACATAATTTTTGTCTTTGTAGACACTGAAAACTCTATCGAATTCATCGAATGAACAAAAACTATCCAACCTTTCATTATTCAAAAAAAACTTGAACTTTAAAACAAAACTTTGAAAAAAACAAAACTGAAAACAACTGTGCTAGTGTACTATGCTATAAACTGTATACTGTATACTGTACTATACTCGTCATGAGGTTATACAATTGAAGGGTAAGATACCTATACAGATTAGTAAAGGCCAAATAAACGATTAAAGTTTCCATAATAAAATAACTATTATTATATATTCAAATTAGGCGCCCAAAGCTCAATAGCAACAGGTAATTTACAGTGTGACCGGGCGCCTGGTGCCCTATTATCAATCCGGGCGCCCAGTGCTCTAGCCACAGCGTAATTAAAAACTTATTTTGTAATACATCATAAGTTGTTATAACTAATAATTAATATTGAAGTTTTTCTTCAAAGTTTTTAATGTTAAAAACAATTTAAGATGTCTCTGGCAGAAGAGTTACTTGCTGATTTGGAAGAAGATGGCTACGATGATAGTGAGCCAATGGTGGTCGTACAAGAGGAGACTCCTCATAAACTTCCAGATAACGCTTTGATTCCAAAACAAACTGGTATTTTTTGTAAAATATATTGTTTGCGTATCATATAGAAATAATAATTTTTTTGAATCCTTTTGTAGATTTTAAAAATGCCAAAATCCGTGATCTTGCAAAGTTACGGGATTCAGCGCGTTTAGTGAATATAATGCAGCAGATTGATGTATTTCAGAGCAGACAAAGGGGAACTGAAGATGAATTAGGACCTGTTGAGTCTAATCCCGAATACATCTTAATTGTGGATGCAAACAATTTGATAGTAGAGATTGATGATGAAATTCGTAAGATAATTGAAAATCTAATGTACTGAGAAACATGTGAGAAACTAATTGTTATAATTTTTTCAGTCATCATACATAAATTTGTTCGAGATAAATATTCAAAACGATTTCCAGAGTTAGAGTCTTTAGTTGTCGGCCCATTAGAATATGTACAGACAGTTAAAGAACTAGGTAATACTCTTGAACAATCTAAAAACAATGAAGTACTTCCAACGTTTCTTACTCAAGCTACTATTATGGTTGTTTCTGTTACTGCATCAACTACACAAGGGTAAAATTAGAAACTTTAAGCCATGTATTTAAAAATGTTATTTAAAGCTATAAAAACTGACTTAGTTAGCATAATGTCATAATCACTTTTATTATTAAATTTAACAAATTGCCTTATTTATTTATGTGACAAACAATATATTATTCCGGTAGTAATTCTTTGTCTTGTGCAAGGTACATCCTGCATGTTTATTATTTATATAATTTCTACATAATTTTAAATCTCAAACTATTGAATATTGATATATATTATTAATTATTAAGGTTGTTTTTATTCAGCCTAAATTGTATAAAATGTTTAATTCATTTGTGTATTTTAGACAATTTTTAAATGAAAATGAACTATTTGAAGTCCGCGAAGCTTGTGATATGGCTATTGATCTTAATAAATTAAAATTGAAAGTTTATGAATACGTAGAGAGTAGAATGACATATATAGCACCTAATCTTTCTGTTATTGTTGGTGCATCAACAGCTGCAAAAATTATGGGTAATATATATATATACATTTTTATATTTGGTTTTAGATCAGTAACATCTATTTGAATATTTTTCTAGGTGTAGCTGGAGGTTTGACAAATTTATCGAAAATGCCAGCATGTAATGTTTTATTATTAGGTTCTCAAAAAAGACTTTTATCTGGTTTTTCACAAGTCAACGCAATGCCACATACAGGTTTTATTTTTCATTGCACTTTAGTACAAAATAATCCACCAGTAAGAAATAGTTATTAAATTATACATTCAATTTAACAAGTTGCACTTAATTTAAATTAATTATTCTTTAGGATTTACGAAGGAAAGCAGCTAGGCTTGTTGCGACTAAAAGTACATTAGCTGCAAGAGTTGATGCTGCACATGAGAGTCTTGATGGACATATAGGAATGACATTAAAAGAAGATATAGAAAAAAAATTGGACAAATTAACGGTTGTCATATAATATTTTGTATTTGTTTGTTTTAAATAATAAATTATATATTATCTAAAATGTGTAGGAACCACCTCCAGTTAAATTTATCAAGCCTCTACCCAAGCCTATAGACCCGGGTCGAAAGAAGCGAGGCGGAAAAAGAGTACGCAAAATGAAGGAACGTTATGCTGTTACAGAGCTACGTAAACAAGCAAATAGAATGAATTTTGCAGATGTAAATATTAAAAGCAATTAATTTTTACTTAAATCTATAACATACATATTTTTACTTAAATTAAGATTGAAGATGATGCATATCAAGAAGACTTAGGTTATACTCGAGGAACCATTGGAAAGTCTGGAACTGGTAGAATTCGTCATGCACAAGTTGATGAAAAAACAAAAGTGCGAATTTCAAAGACACTTCAAAAAAATTTACAAAAACAGCAAGCATGGGGTGGTGCTACTTCAGTTAAAAAACAAGTATCTGGTACTGCATCTAGTGTGGCCTTTACTCCCCTCCAAGTAAGTTGTATTTTAAATAACCATTACATTTTTAGAATAGATTACATATTATGATAAGATGCAAAGAGATATAAAATTGACATAGGCCACGGATACGCAACAAACCTGTGATAAGTAAAGCCCGCACCTTCTCACGTAACGGCATGACAACTATTAGTTCCTTATTCTCCCGGTTAACACAGAACAATCCTTTAAAGCGCTAGTAGTCCTGCTGTAACGTGAGAAGCGGACAGACTCAAGAAAACATTGATAAGATGCATCGTGACATAGGCGCAACTAGAGTTCAAATTCTAGGGGAGGGGCTACAGCCCACACAACTAAACTATTTATTTGAAATATCCCATAGGGGGCTTATATCTAAATTAATAAGGGATATTTTTTGGGGGGATAAGCCCGCCTAGCTGTGCCAATAAAGATTGATTTAATTCATACATTTGAGTGTTATTATTCATCGTGCATCATTAACATCATTAAGTAAACTAAATAAATATCAAAACTAATTGATATAATAATTTATTATAAACTATACAAACTACTTAAGAGGATGTCATACCCTTATGCATTGTCTCCGTATTACAAACGCATAACGTAGCAAATTGTACATTCTAAATAATTCATTTAACTCTGTTTCTTTAATTTTATAGTGAATTTACCTAAAATCAAGAAGTACAAATATTATCTAGTGGATGATGTAGGTTTTTTTATATTTTAATTTTAAAACTAGTTATGAGCATTTACGACTTGTGTGCAGGGGCGTGGCAATCTACACGGCAGGTTTATAGATTGATGACTCGGTGGAGTGGCAAATTGATGTTACCTGACTGCTACCGACAAAATTGATTGCATTTCTTATTGTGAATAGAATATAACTTAAAAATTAAAATATTAAAAAAAATCCTATGTCATCCGCTAGATAATATTTTAACTTCTAAGTTTGGTTTTAGGTGAATTCACTATAAAATTAAACATAATAGAGTTGAATTAATTATCATACAATTTGCTACATTATGTGTTTGTAAGACGGAACCAATTCATGTCTCTTAAAAGTAAAATGAGCTAGACATCTAGTGCAAAAATACCTGAATTACTTATTGATAATCTGATGATTTAAAATGAAAATAACTATTTTGTCCTCTATAAAGTCGAAGAAAAATACTGTGTATTACTCGATGAACTTATATACAAAAAAAAAATAATTAAAGATAAGATTAGTATGATCATTTTATTGCATTTACAGGGTGAACCACTATGTTTTTATTTTCATTTTATCATGTTCGTTTTATAGGTAGATAATTGATTCAAACTTGATCATGTAATGAGGTCTTGAATAATAAATATGCCAGATCTTTTCTTTTTTAACTGTCAATTTGTTTTATTCGTTTTAATTATGTGTAATTTAATAAACATTTGTTATGTTTTCTTACTCTACTCTGAAAAGTATTTAGTTATGTTTTATTAATGTGTACTAATATTAAATGACAGTTTATTATAAAAAGTCATGCCTAATAAATCGTCTTGAATGAATTCAATTAATGCGTTAATATTTTAGTAATTTTTTTTTGTTTAAGTCATGTTTGTTCGTATAAATAGTGAATTTTTATTTTTTTGTTTTTCTATTTCAGGGATTAGAAATAGTGAATCCACAAGCAGCTGAAACAAAAAATTCTGGAATAAATTCAGCTAGATATTTTTCCAATACTGCAAGTTTTGTGAACGTACATAATAAACAATAATATAACCTAAAAGGTGTCATTTCATGTATGATATAAATTACTATTATTTTTTTTTTATTATTAAATTATCTCTCAAATGTGAAAGTATCAAATAATTATAATTTTAATAAACAGTGTTCTACATGCAAAGGTTAAGAGGATATTTTACTGATAACCTGTTTTTGATAAGATAAACAAATATCGATGTAACAAGTTTAGCAAATAAGTTATTTTTCAACAGTTTTTAATTATCTATGGACTGTTAATATAATCCAAGATAAAACATTTATATTATTGTATACCTATAAAAGTTTAAATAACCATGAACTATTTAAAATCTAGTCCTCTAAAACATCTTAAGTTTCTGAAGTATGTCTCTCTTAGAAAAAGCAGTAGTTTTTTAATTAATGACAGTAAATATTCATTTCTCAAAGAACTTGGTTTAAACGAAGAAAATGTAGGTGTGTATGACGGACAATGGAACGCAAATGGAAATGTTAGTATAACATAAGTGTTTTAGAATTATTAAAATGTCTATAAAATGCTCTGCAGATTACTACATCGTTTTGTCCAGCAAATGGTCTACCAATAGCTTCAGTATGTAATGGTAATGCTGAAGATTATGATAGATGTGTGTCAAATGCTCTTGAAGCATGGAAGATATGGTCTGATATACCTGCTCCAAAACGTGGTGAAGTCGTTAGGCAAATTGGCAGTGCGTTTAGACAAAAATTAGAACCACTTGGAAAATTGGTATCATTGGAAATGGGTAAAATCATAAAAATGGTTTTCATTATGGTTTGATTTAATTATTTAATATTTATTATCGACGTTGTAGGTAAAATTTTGGGAGAAGGTATCGGTGAAGTTCAAGAGTATATTGATATTTGTGATTATGCTGTTGGTTTGTCAAGAATGTTTAATGGTTCAATATTTCCTTCTGAAAGACCAAATCATATTATGTTGGAGCAATGGAATCCATTGGGACTAGTAGGAATTATTAGTGCATTTAATTTTCCTGTTGCAGTTTATGGTTGGAATAGTGCTATCTCCATGGTATTCTTTATTTTAGGTTATAGTTTTTTTTTAGTTTTATTTAAATTAAAATTTCTTATTATAAATTATAGATATGTGGTAATGTTGTAATATGGAAAGGAGCACCAACTACTTCTCTTACTTCAATCGCAACTACAAAAATATTAGCATCAGTCTTGGAAAAAAATAATATTCCAGGAGCTGTTTTATCTTTATGTACTGGTGATGTTGATATCGGGGTATCAATGGTTAATGACCAAAGGGTGAATTTGGTTTCTTTTACTGGAAGTAGTTCTGTTGGCCAAAAAGTTAGTGGTGGTTTTAATTTTATTAGTTTTGGTCCTAATAATATTTATATATTATTGAAAATATATTAATTCAGGTTGGTGTGGAAGTGCAAAAAAGATTTGGTCGTGTATTATTAGAATTAGGTGGTAATAATGCTATTATTGTTACTCCTGATGCTAATCTTGAAATGGTATCACAATCTGTTGTTTTTGCATGCTGTGGAACAGCTGGGCAAAGATGTACCACTACTAGAAGATTAATTTTGCATAAATCGATTTATAACACTGTTTTGGTCAACTTAGTTAAGGCATATTCTAATGTTTTAAAAAGATTAGGAGATCCGCTTGATATAACTACTCTTTATGGTCCTATGCATTCATCAACAGCTGTTGAAAATTTTAAGCAAACAATATCTGACGCTATTGAGGCTGGAGGTCAAATAGAATTTGGAGGAAAAGTAATATTTTGTTTTAACTTTTATTATTAAGTATTAGTATTACAATGATGTAATATAGTTTTAAAAAATTAAATTTTAAATATAGGTTTTAGATAGAGCTGGTTATTTTGTTGAACCTACCATTATATCAGGTTTAAAGTATGATTCACCTGTAGTACGCCGTGAAACGTTTGCTCCTATTGTTTATGTATTAAAGTATGATACTTTGGAAGAAGCTATTGCTTGGAATAATAGTGTAGATCAAGGATTATCATCTAGTATCTTCACTAATGATATTGGCACAGTATTCAAAGTATGTATAATGTACCTACATTAAAATATATGTATATGATATTATTAATGTTATTTGTATTCAAAAAAAATATATATACAATAATATAATATACAGCCTGGTTGTGCTAAAGTATTTAAGCTAGATGACTGCATCGAAGAAACGGGTGGTAAAAGCGATAAAGGAGATAATAGTATATTATATATTTTGAGAAAATTTAAAATTGTTCACCATTATTTATTTTTTTTATTGTTTTATTGCAAAATTGACACTTTCTCAAAATGTGTATTTTGAATTGCTTTCGTTTCACCTACAAAAAACCTCATTCCAATCAATGGTCATCCAGCTTAAATATTTAGTGATAACTCTTAGAGTGAACATACTGTATATTTAAATAATATAATAAGTCGAGTTTAAAACTGTTCAATTTACAAATTAATAAATTATAGTTGTGATTTATTAATTTCTTTGTTTAGTGGACTGGCCACAAAGGATCAGATTGTGGTATTGTTAATGTTAATATACCAACAAATGGAGCAGAGATAGGTGGTGCATTTGGTGGTGAAAAGCATACTGGTGGTGGACGAGAGTCTGGTTCAGATTCTTGGAAACAATATATGAGAAGATCAACTATTACAATTAATCATGGATCTGGATTAACATTGGCTCAGGGCATTAAATTTGAATAATATAATTAAATACACATATTTTTTTATTTTAAATTTAAAATGTTAACAATAAATATAATTTTATTTTATTGTTTTTTAACGCATTATAAGTACCTAATGGATATTGTGATATGATTAATTTGGAATTTATTATAGGTACCTATTTTAGGTAATTTTTTTTTAATACGATAGATAAGTTTATAATATGTCTTATACCTAACTGACATACCGTCTCCGCTCAGAATCGTTTTGCTTATACAATGATATTATATCATTGAATAAAATTTAATACTATCCATTATACAGTGACCCACTGTAACCTACTGTACTAAGAGCACCTTTATTTATTTTTAATATCATTTTTTGGTTAAAATTCTAAAAAAATATTAATGAATACAATGTGATTAAGTCCGGTCTCTAGTGATGATGCACAAAAAGGAAAAAGAAGAACTCAAAAAATTACATACAAACACACATCATAGTTATAATCATTAATATAATGAATACATTCATCGTTCTGAGTCTCAGAATTAAAAAGGGATTAAAAATTGCCATGGTAGTCGGATAAAATATATATCTAGGAATCTTTGCTTCTTGGTAAATGGCAATATGATACTTGGTTAGGCTCCAATGATTTTTATTTGGATAGCACATCAGTCAACCGTGTATTATTTCTTTCAACCCGAGTTCTGTCACTTATACTACTATTATTAGTGTTATTGAGTTCAATTTATTATTTTATATAACTATACATAATACATTATTGTCATATCTATGATGGAGTTTTATTAACTTGTAAGGCGGCAACTGTAAGGCTTTGTTGTCAGTTGCTAATATAGGAAAATATTCACCAATGACCCTCGTAAGTTGTAAAGCTCAAAGGCTGTAAATAAGTATGCGTAGCTCGTTTGCAGACAAATCATTTGACATTTCAATATATTTTTTTATGTTTGGCAATAATTCTAATTTGTTCTCAAAATTAATTGTAATAATTTTTCAGTGTTATTGTTTACGTATATGGTAAACATGGTATCATAATTCATAGTTCAGCTTCAGCAAAGCGCGAGTGACTTAGTCACTAGTGTAAGTATGTACCTGCTACCGGGATACTCATACTATGTCAGGCACCAGCATAGCCACATAGATAGTAGGTAGATAGGTATGGATACATCATAGAAAAAGATTGACTTAAACTAAAATAACCTACCTACCTACTTCTTATAGTTTATACCTACTGCATGCAGCATGCTCATATTAATTATTATGAATTATAATTTGTATTGTTTAAAACAATATTTTGTTACCTACTTATTTTTTTATTTAGGTATTAGCATTGATTATAAATCAGGGGAGGACCTTGCCCCCCCCCAAGCTGTATTTCTCAACAATTTTATATTGTTATATACAAAATTACAAATAAAAATCATCGAAATTGTCTAAAAATTATGACTTCCCCCCCCCCTAACCATGTCCCTGGAGCCGCCCCTGTTACAAATATTAGTATTTGTAATCAATGGTATTATGTATCTGATGCTTGCTGCAGTTATTACATTTTAATAATAGGTACGTTTGGTACAAGTCATAATATAACATAATAATTAATATTATGTTTGTATTACCTATATTAAGCAGGTGTAAATTAAGATGTTTTCATCTGATGATGATGATGATTATAAATGTATTTTATTGTCGCATTAAAAATTACAAAGGTTCATTATATTTAAATATGTAGGTAGGTACCTACTTAATAAACCATGGTCAAATTATCGAAGTGTTAATTTAATTATTTATCATAATCTTTAACTCTTGTATTGTTCAGGGGTTCGGTATTTAAGATTTTAGGTTAAAATATCCACGGAAAAAACATCTAAATTAAAAAATGTATAATAATAATTTTCCATGGGGGGAGGAGGACAAAATTAAACTAGATTCCAAAACCTTCTATTGTTCTATTGCATATAGAATACAATTGATATCAAGTTATCGGTATTTCTCACAATTTAAGATAGTACTTAAATCGTGGTATTTATTGAAAGTCAGTGGTGTAATCAGGAATTTTCTATGGAAGGGAAGGGGGGGGGGGTTATAGAAAATTAATTATAATTTTATTTTTATTTTGTCCAGTCTAAACACTTCAGACGTTTAGGTGAGGTATTTGAAAGTGTTGTAAAACTCCAACTTCTCAACTTTTCTAGCAAAAAAAAATGCTCTGATCATAAACTTCGATACCTAGTTCGATAGAGATTTTTGGAAGGAAATTGGATCTAGTTGGTTGTTGGTTACACTTACACATTTGAGAGAT